CAACATTTGAAAAAGGCTCATCTCTTTGAGATAAATACTCTAAATTCGAAATAATCGTATCAAGGCAACCTGGTAATTCCAAAAAATAGCTTCAAAACTTCTTTTATAGAAATGTAGTAACCAGTATCAAGTTCATGACTCATTACTGTCTTGTTCTCCTGTGTTCTAGGCCTATAATGACTACCAATCACGTAGCTTGTAGGAGCTATATAGAATTCACTTTCTTTTAATGCTTCTAATCTTTCATAATCACTGTGAAGGCCAGCAAAAATATTATCACATGCATTAAACATAAAAGAAAGTTCATTAAGTTCTTCGTTAGTATAATCAAACTTACTTAACATGTTAAAAACTTTATTTTTTAAAATATTTAAGTATCCACTTGATAATAATTCTGAAGCAGCATCAATTATCTCTTGAACATGAGCCCGATTCAAAGTATTAGAGGCATACAATTTTGATACAAAAACAAGCGTAGAATCCACTAAAGCTTTTTTAACATCATAAACTGAAATTGAATTATTTTCTGACGTATTTGATTCAAAAACATGCTGATGCATATCAGCATCTGAAATCTGGACAACATCAGAAACATGACAAGCATCAAAAGATTGAATTTCTTTTTGTGAACAATTTTTATGTAAGAAAGAACATTTAAGTAAATGTTTTTTGAATGCACGTAAGGAAGGACAAGTTTTAAAACAATTAGGTGCAGAACATCTAAGAGCAGTATGAACAGCTGTAACATGGTATACTTTGATGTGTGCCATCAGAGCTTCGATTGAGTTAAATTGATTTTTACATATAAAACATAATATCTCCATTATAAAAAACAAAATTGAACACACAAGTTAAAACTTATACAACTAAACGAGAGTTACGTAATCTATTAGAAAATTAAAATAATTTTTAAATCACAGATTGATTTCTTCTTACATTAACTTAAAATTAATATATCAATATATGTCATATATATAATAAATGAAAAATATAATTATGCAAAAAAATTTTTAAATGGAATCTACTTAAAAGATATGCTCTGTAAAGACTTACAATTAGACTTATAAATTTAAAGTAAAACGGAAGACCTCAATGAGGTGTTTGCTCATTGTCAGTTTCATTTGCAATTTTTGTTCGAAGAGCTTCAAAGGTTTTGACAAGCGCACTGACATTAGAATTCTTTTTATCATACCTCGTGGAGATGCGATACAAAGCTTGCTGAATAAAAAGCCACACACCTCTTGCTTCATATGAATATTCAGTCATCAAAACTTGTATTGCTTTGAAACATTGATCGAAGGCTTTCAACACATTATTAAATTGATATTTGACTTCATCAATTATCACATAACAAATCTCGTATTGTTCTACCGTAGGCCCAACAAGAAGAACAAAAGGTTGAACTCTAGTTTTAAGCTTTAAAGCCACAGCACGCCTCCGTTGGATAGCTGGATTTATATCTCCTGGCACCTACAAAGATAAGATAAAAAAATTATTACTATATCTCTATTTTACAAAAAAGTCATACAACTTCGCGCGCGCGCGTGTGTGTGTAATAATTTGCCACAAATTAAAAAAATAAACTTATTTTTTGTCACATAATTTTCAAATCATTTCCAGCACGTTCAAATATTCCATGCATCTTGAAGAATATAATGAAGTATATCAATAAAATTTAACTTACTGTCACATGGAACACAAAAGCATCTCTTGCCTCAGCTATATTTGCCTTTATCTTTTCTCCAGAATCAAGTTTCTGTAGTTGTCGAGGTGGAACTAAATGTGGAAGTAAGTGAAGAATAACAGCAGTGACAGAATTTGCTACGATAGATAAAAGAAAACTTTTGCTGTAAATACATATGACACAAGGATTTTTTCCAATAAATAATTTTATTTATTTATTCATTCTTGAAAAATACTTACCATCATCCAGCTCGTCCAATTTCTTCAGTTGTGCTTTTCCATAAGAATCCTTCACTTCTGCTTTTAAAAGTTGTTTGAGAAGGAGAATAAATATTTCCCACTCCAAAAGAAGCGCTAAATCCTTATCAGGATATTTCTTCTTAAAGTCACGATCAAGCTGAAAAATTAAGATATTTATTTTTATAAGAAATAATAAGAAAACAATAGAGAATGTTAACACTAAACAAATAATATTAAAATACTTAATATATTTACAAGAGTATATCCTTGAGGCAAAGACAAAACCTCCCATTCAGAAAAATAATCCGTCACCGAAAGTGGTTTGTCTCCTCCGCCTTTCGGATCTAGTAGTGTTTTTTGTCTAATATCATAAGTTAGATCCCAATTATTTAAAACATCAGTCCAAGGTTCTCGACTTATTTTCAGCCATCGAATCGCTGCTTGCACTTTATCTTCATTTACTAAGCACAATTTTGAGGCAATTAATTTATCATATTCTATGAAAATATTTCTTAGCAGTTAATAATCTTAATTGAATTTAAATACTTTTAGATGTATTCGTATCGGGCTCATTTTCATCATTTTCATTCTGTGTAGAATTTGAATATTTATGATAATTGGCTGGATTAAGTGCACCAAGTCTCCTCAACATAGACTTAATATTTCTCACTTTATCAGCTAATTTTCCCCCGATATTTTTTTGCTTTGGACCATTTGCAAAAGGTTCATATACGTATGTAGCCTACAATATATTTACAAAAAATATTATGTTTACTCGTGATAATATTAATTATCAGATTCAGAATATATAGATAAAAAAGTTTTACCTCAGTCTCAGTTGGAAATAATTCGCATAATTTTTTGGACACGATTTGAAATTCTTCAAAAGTAGGGCTACAAAAAAGAAAGATATTAGCAACATTAAATATGCATAAAGTTATAATATTGTAGTAAAAAAATTTACTTTATATTAATTTTTATCATACAACTTGCTAATATCTCTATTAATATTCCTCTTGCTTCTCCATTTAAAATGCCATTATTTTTATAATAAATTAGAACAGCATCACCTTTTAAATGTTCCTTTATTACTTTCTCAATATTCTGAAATAAAAAATATATTATGGAAATGTATATCAGATATAAGTATAATTAAATAAAAAATTTTAATGGCACTTTTAATACTAAATATAATTATTTAATTCTGAGCAACAATTTAATATATTGTTTACCAACTCTTGAAATTGCGTTCTTGTGAACCACAATGCAAGTCTTTTAGGATAGCGTTTAGATTTTTCTAACTTTGACGATAGTTGTCGTTTCTTTCCGTTTTGATTAGCTAACAAAATTTCTGTTTCACCATCACTCACACTATTTACTCCTGAATCAGATGCTGATTCGAGCTGAGAGTAATCATTTCTCTGTTTACATGTTTCCTACAATGTTAACATGAAATATCAAAAACACAAGAATTTAGCTACTAATTTTATATCTTAAAAGGTTAAAATGTTTATACATATTCTATATACATATTTTATATATAAAATATAATGTATATAATATACATATATATATATCCTTACTATATTATCTAATTGGCGTAAAGGAGTGTTCACAATATCAAGACAATTATCTGTGTTAACATCTACAAATGGCATGCTACAGTTTCCAAATTCATCAACCTATAACAAAATACCCAAATAAATACAAACAATTTTATTACATGCATAATCGTTTGGAATGTCTACAAATCTTCCTTGCTTGTACCTCTACATCAAAAACTAAATTCTTAGAAGTACTGGCTTGTAAAGCATTTCTTCTGTTAAAAAATTCAGCTTGATCACCCCACTTAGGCAATAATTCCTCTGCCTTTTTAGCTGATATCAAACATAACCTATTTATGGTAGTTAATGCATCCCCTAAACATAAAAGACCAATATGATATTAATTATAAGAAAAGTTCAAAGCCGAAAACCAAAAGTGTATGCATGCGTGCGTGTGCGTGTGTGCGTGCGTGTGTGTATATCTAAACTCTAAACTCAAAAGAAATAATAATATGGACAATGCAGTTAAAAGAAATTGATGAACATGTAATACAAATATAAACCTAACCATGCAATTTATTATTTCATTGTAGATAAAATTTTTAAGTAAAAGTTACTCAAAATATAAAAAAATACTTACTCTCAAATGCGGGCCAGTACTCGCCTAAATGTGCTTTTTCTAAAAATTCTTGTACTTCGTTCATATTTCTTTTGTAGCACTAAACACTCACTGGCACAAAGCTCGTTGCATCACACTGCGTTGCACTTTGATGGCGTACACTTCGCGTAGCAAATAAATGACAATCTATTTCAAACAAATGCGCGATCCGCGAATATCTTACATATCCTCTTATTTCAAGAAGCTATTCAAATTACTATAGTAGGATTTTCTTTAGAGGAATTTACTCTTAATCATATCTCACGCATCCACTTTTTTATAGATAAATACGTGTTACATGAAGAGAAATATGTTTTCTATAAGATAATATTGCGTAGAGGAAATGCTTAGAGGAATTCTCCATTTATTAGTAGAATATTTTTTTTTTTGGGTGCCCCATCCGTTGTCAAGCGAGACGAATATCAGTTTCTGGCACAAACACAAGTCAGTGCTTGCCTTAATGCTTTCGGTTCAGGAGTATCCATCCTGCTACAACCTGAGATAGCGGAGGGTCTCAACAGTGCCTTACGATCAGCTCTGACGTTCTTCTCGGAGGGATTCATTTGCTCGCTGACCACCAGTATCGACTTTTATTAGCGAGGAAGGCCTTTACCAAACCCTCCCTAAATATTATTGGAAAAAATGCAGCCGACTCAGCAATCATCGACGATTTCCTTTTCGGGCAGAATTTCGCTGAGACGCTCAAAGCCGCTCAGGCTTGCGAGAAAACAGGGCGCGAGGTATCAAAATCTCTACCTCAGATGGAAAAGAAATCATTACAACCCGTTCGCCAGTATCCATAACAGCGAAAGCAGCCTTACAATTTAAAAGCACGCCAATCGGGAAATTAGAGGACTCCTGCTCGCTCATATGCGGCTCGCCGGACAGGAAATCGCCTTCCCAAGAGCCGCTCCTATCGAGCCCAGTCTCGATCTCGGGCACGTCACCGCCCCTAAACAAGGTAAAGTCAGCGGGTCGTTTGAGAAAATTTTACACTCAATGGGCAGATCTTACTACAGATTGTTTGGTGCGGGAAGCGATACAAGGTTACCGTATTCCCTTTATCTCGCCGAGCCAAAATTTTCTCCAGCGGATGCGACACTTTGCGTCAGAGAGATAGAACGTTTACGATGCAAGGGAGCCATTGCCCCAGTAGAACCTCACGTGTTTCAATTCTTATCACCATTTTTTCTTATCAATAAATCGTCAGGCGGTAAACGCTTTATTTTAAATCTACGGGATTTAAACAAATATATTGAACCTCCTCATTTCAAATTAGAGGATTGGCGAACAGTCATTCGTCTCATGCTCCCAGGTTTTCACATGGCTACGCCTTGACCTCGAGGACGCTTATCTTTTAGTCCCAATATACGAGAATCATCGAAGGTTTTTACGTTTTCAGTGGCGTAACGTGACGTATGAATTTTCAGCACTGCCGTTCGGACTCTCCACGGCCCCATATATTTTCACGAAGATCCTTCAACCGGTGGTCACTTTTCTTCGTAATCAGGGCTACCAATCGGTTGTGTACCTCGATGACTTCCTCCTCTTGGGATCCTCCGCAGATGAGTGCAGAGCTAATATACTTGCATCTGTGAATCTTCTACAATCCTTGGGCTTCGTAATAAACTTTTCAAAATCTCATTTAGATCCATCACCTAGATGTAAATACCTAGGTTTTATCTTCAATTCCATTAAGCAATCTTTGTCAATTCCTGACACTCGTCGAGAGAATTTATTACATTTAACAATACATTTGGCACAAAAATCTAGATGTCGCATTCGAGAAATGGCTAGCTTTATCGGATCACTCATCTCCGTTTGTCCAGCAGTCCAGTACGGACTTCTTTACACTAGAGCGTTTGAAAGAAAAAAATTTTTAGCGCTTCGCAGAAATAACGCGGATTATTCCACATTTATGGATATTCCCCTCGAACTTCAAATAGATTTTTCTTGGTGGATCAATATATTTTCTGACTCAAATCAATCCAACAAAATTTGCTCGAACAATTTTGTTAGGGAAATCTTCTCCGATGCCTCTCTAAACGGTTGGGGAGCAGCTTGTGGAGACTTACGCACACATGGATGGTGGTCCGAGTCGGATCAAGTCCTACACATAAACGCCTTGGAGCTTAAAGCGGCTTTTCACGGCCTGCGATGTTTCGCGGCTGACCTTCACGACTGCGACATTTTACTCCGCGTTGATAACACAACGGCCCTAGCCTACATTAACAAATTTGGTTCTATCCAATTCCCCCACCTTTCAGCTATTGCCAGGGAAATTTGGCAATGGTGCGAGGACCGGAATATATTTATTTTTGCCTCCTATATAGCTTCCATTGAAAATTCTATCGCTGATACGGAATCTCGAATCGCGGATCCTGATACAGAGTGGTCTCTCTCTGAGGGAGCTTTTCAGGAGGTGCTCAAGACTTTCGGGCCTTTTAATGTGGATCTATTTGCATCCTTAATCAACAATAAGTGCGATTCTTACGTATCCTGGTTCCCGGATCCGGGTTCGATCGCCGTAGACGCCTTTACTCTCTCATGGAGAGACTTCTCCTTTTATGCTTTTCCACCTTTTATTCTTCTGCCACGAGTCTTAAGGAAGATAGTGGAGGATGAAGCAACGGGTACTGTAATAGTACCGTGGTGGCCCTCACAGGCTTGGTTTCCGTTATTCCGCCGCTTATTACTAGCGGAACCTCTAATTTTGTCACCTAGTCATTCTCTGCTCTCTTCTCCTTTCAGGACCCAACATCCATCGTGGAGAACGCTTTCCCTGGGGGTCGGGAAATTATCCGGGAGGCCTTTAAGGAACGTTTAGTACCACCGGGGGCAATTCCAGCTTTACTAGCCTCCTTATCTGAAGCAACAATTAAACAATACTCCTACCCTCTGCGGATCTGGTGGAATTTCTGCCAACGTCACCAAACGCCTCTCTTTTCTCCGTCGGTGTCGCAAATGCTGGAGTTTTTGGCTCACGAGCTGCCTCACATCTCCTCCTTTTCCAGTTTGAATACTATGAGATCAGCAGTCTCGTTGATTTCCAACAATGAGATCGGTAACCATCCTATGGTTAGAAGATTCTGCAAGGGCGTTGCGGTGCTCAAGCCGCCTCGTCCGCGGTATGACTACGTTTGGGACCCGGCACCAGTACTATCGAAACTTGCCTTGATCTACCCATACGAATCTCTCTCATTGGAGATTATCACCAAGAAACTGGCTCTTCTCCTCGCCTTAGGCTCGGGCCATCGAGCTCAAACCTTCGCCTCAATAAGACTTTCTCAAGTCTCCCTCAAGGAGAAGCTAATTATTCGTATTCCCGACCGTAGTAAAACTTCAGCGCCGGGACGTTACCAACCACTTCTCTGCTTTGCACGTTTTCAGGATCATGACAATCTCTGCATAGTTCTGCTGATGGAACACTACATTAACAGAACTAGAGGATTACGTTCACCATCGTGTGACTCGCTTTTCATCTCTTATCGCAAACCGTTTAAGGCGATATCCTCTCAAACTATCTCCCGCTGGATTAAACAGATACTAGAGGAATGTGGCGTCAACACCGCCGTGTTTTCGGCACATAGTACTAGACACGCTGCGACGTCGCGTGCAGCGGATAAAGGTGTCACCCTTGACATTATCAAGCGGGCCGCAGGTTGGACCGGGGAATCACGAGTCTTCGCCAATTTTTACAACAGACCGATTGTCAATCCCGAGGATTTTAGCAATACGGTTCTTTCACAATAACAGCTTTTTTCTCAAGCCTACTACCATTCGTTACGTTTCTTTGGCCTTTTCGACTTACATATACATATAGATATGTATATGTATATATGTATCTATATCTGTATATATTAATCTTATCAATTCCATATACTTGTATATTTACATTCTTTTTTTATTTAGTAAGATACTTTATATAGCCTCGATTCTATGCGTATAATCTCTCTAATGTAATCTTTATAATCCATTATAAGTTCATGGCTTTGGATATTTTTCATTTTGTCAGTCTACATTTCTCAAAGTTATGTCTTCTCCCCAGGTCCTCTTCTGGGCAAATCACTTAGATTTGAACATCTACATAGTTTTATATATCCATCCGGACGAGACATTGGGGCATAATTGTAGGATTGAACGAACTTACCTATTGAAGTTCGATCTAGATTATGCCCCTTGTCTCGTCCGGATGGAGCCTCCCTCCCGGGCCTTTTTTAGCCATTCCCTCCCTGGAAATAGTGATTTGCCCTCCCTTTATTTGAACGAATGAAGTGGATGGCGCGCGCAGCGCGAACAGTGAGGAAAAGACGAACCGCGCGCACAGCCAATTTTTGTTTTATTTAGCGTGGTTTTTTGAACTCTGTTGTCTGGGCACGTGCAGGGACACGACTACATAGTTTTATATATCCATCCGGACGAGACAAGGGGCATAATCTAGATCGAACTTCACTAGGTAAGTTCGTTCAATCCTACAATTAATTATGTATTTTTTATTTATATTTCTGTAATTATTAAATATAAATTTAAATATTATTAAAGTATAATTATGTTCAGTAAATATAATCTTGAAAGTAATACACAAATTTCTCTGTTTTTCGTACAGCAAAATTATTAAATATATGTACTTATTTAATTGCTGCACTATACATTTATATAATCCAATATTACATAATTGAAAAAAATAATGTTTGTTATAATTCTTTCTTTGTTCTTTCTAAAAAGATAATTGACGATTCAAGTTAAGTAACGACCATGTAGCATTGGGTGCCCAGTTTTTTTATTTGTTTATCGCCATACTGTGTTTATGGTATACTGCATATGCTTGAAAACCACGTGGCATAGTAAGCATTCCTATAGAACATACTATGTATATTCATAGAAACAATCTATGTGAATATTCCACGTACATTCTATGCGAATATTTATAGAACATTGAGAATACTCCATGGACACTCAAGAAACATTTAATACAAATATTCACTAGACATATTGGAACATACATTAGACATTTATGGAATATTCAGAACATTCCAGGAAAGGTCAAGGAACATCTATGCAAATATTCCTGAGAAAGAACATTTGAATCATATACGAACATTCATGGAATTCGGTGCTATCTAGGATTCTTCTTGCTCAGCCGAAGTTAATAGATAATAGCCAGACACTTCAAAGTTTCTATTGGTTGCCACACGTAAACATAAAATGGAAATATTATAATATTTCTACATATATTTTACTTTGAGTAGCAAGTAATTATAATTATCATACTGTCGAAGTTTACAAACATTTGTCAAGATATACATGCATACATTTGTGTTATCACTCGTTCTTTACAATACTTTTTTTATTTCCACTCCGAGCGAAAAGACAAATAAGATCATATAATCATATCAGTTTATATCGTTACAATAATTGCTTGTATCGTGTTACGTCTGTTATCTGTCGTCTGACGCAGTTTGTACTGAACCATCGGTATGATGCTTTTGCTTTGAATCAGTGCTTATTCAATTGCAGCAGTTACGCAGTTAAACGTTTTCTCAAGTGTGTTTTATAATAAATTATCTTCTTTGACGGCTACGAAAAAAAGGCAAAAGACAGAAGATATACACGCAAGTACGCATTACTATTGATATTGTTAATTGAAATGCCATTTCCACAAATTTACTGCTGAATATAACGTCGACTGGGATTGTAGAAATTTTCTTAAGTTAGCAAGACCAAATCAGCAAAATAGAATGCAACTTAGTGGATTATTTACAAAATAGTTATTTTGTACTTATTTTGTACTATTTTGTACCACCAAAATTAATTTTGCACTCGTGTCATTTAAGAAAATAAATATACCGCTGTTAAATACTGTTCAATGCGTAATTATTATGATTCAATTATGAATCATATCATATGTTTGATATTTTAGAAGAACATGGGTAAAAGTACTAAAATATAATTGTATGTATTTTTCTTCTTTTATTTTTTCATTCTGCTAGCTTTGTATTAATGGGACCATTTTTTCTTGGGGGATTTTTTCTTGGTACAAAATGATACGATACAAAAATACAGATACAAAATGAGTAGTACAAATAATTCAATAAATGCCATTTAATTCTACTAATTTAAATTTTTAAAAGTCTGAGAAAAAAAAATCTTGTTCTTGAGGGTGTTGAAATGGGAGTTATTTTAAGGGGATAATAGGCATTTCTTAATTTGTTTTAAGCGGTCCAAATTAGTACCTACAAATTCAATACTAATTGCATCTGCTTTTGTTTTCTTTTGGTTTTTTTCTTTTGATTCTCCTAGCTTCATATTAAGTTAGCATCCACGATTTTTTCTTAAATGACACGGGGTACAAAATTCTTTTTAGTGGTACAAAATAATATAAAAAAAATACTAAATAATTCAATAAGTCTCATTCAATTGTAGACGTAAAAAACGTAATCATGAACGTTTGCTTGAAATTATTTTTCGGGTCGATAATTATTAGTAGCATGTCAACTGTGAGCTACGTTATATTTGTAGACAAGTAATTATGGATCGTTGGCTTGGCAAAACCGCGGTTGTTACTGGCGCTGGATCCGGTATGGGCAAAGCAATTACACATGCTCTTCTGCGAAACGGAGTGAACGTGGCTGCTTTGGATATCGAAAAAGAAAGATTGGCGAAGCTCGATGAAGAATGTAAACGAGTTCATACTTTGACTAAGCTACATTCCATATGCTGCGATGTAAGTATCGAGAATGAGATTGATAAGGCATTCTTGACGATCGAGTCATTGGGCGGTGTGGACATCATGATCAATTGTGCTGGCGTCTGTTATTATACGCGCATAATTGGTACGTCACGTTTGTGCTAAATAAGTATTTTATTATATAAATAAGTATTTATATTTATACTTTGATACTTTTATATACAATGTACACACGGGGACAGGAATGCCTTCTCACATGAAGTTACATGTGCTCGTCGGACATACCGGACATGCGTGCTTCACCTCTCAATATTCGTGCATTATAACTGTAGATATTCGAAAAACGGCAACACCGTCTCAGAGCGGGAAAATGTAATTGACAGTTCATAGTTTGACGTATCCGTTTTTCGAATATCTACAGTTATAATGCATGAATATTGAGAGGTGAAGCACGCATGGTCCGGTATGCCTGACATGTCCGACGAGACGTGTGTAACTTCATGTGAGAAGGCATTCCTGGCTCCGTGTGTACAATTCGAGATGGCAAGTAAGTATTTTTATCGATAGTGGAAAGCTTCAGTTTTTCTTGTCGTTGATGCATTTCAAACAATTGCATAATTTATATTTGTAGACAGCGAAAGGAAAACATTCGAAAAGTTGCTAAATATTAATGTGCTCACATATGCTGTGTGTATGAATAAGGCCGTTAATTCGATGCGGCAGCGAAATGTCGAAGGGCATATTTTCAATATTAACAAGTATCATTATTTATATGAATTGTTCGTTAACTGCTATATTGCCGAGTTCCGTGAAAAGTTTTCGAATAAATAAATTATTCCTAATACAAGTGTTTTTTCTATGCTGAAGAGAAAAGATAGAAATATTTTTTAAAAACATTTGATAATTTAATGAGCAATTTGACGTAGACAGTTTTGATGTGCAGTATTCTAGCTCACAATATTCCAAGAGGATACGTCCTAGAAAATACGTCAGATATTGATGGCTACTCATTTAATATTTATCCTGCCACTAAACACGCCTCTCGCGTTTTGACCACCGCAGTACGACGAGAAATAGCAGCCGTTCAGGCTCCTATTCGAGTTACAGTAAGTTGCGATCATTTAAATCCATTTTCATTCTTTACCTGATTTGCTACAGTTATAAACAATAGGAATTTATTATAATTATTATCAATAATAAATGCATATTCAGCAGACCCCCCGTATAACACGGATTCGTATAGCACAGAGCTCGGCGTTAGTTGCACATTTCGGCTCGATTCTTGAGACGACGCCTCCCGCTCTCCCACTACC